GTTATTTTGCACATCTTGAAAGTCACCCCATCAATCAAACCAATGGTCACTTATTACCAGCCTAAACACAGCTTTTTTCACCTTATGTAAGCATGAAACTAAATTTTATTTCAAATTGGAAGTAAATCCAAAACGTTGCTTCATTTTATTTTAATAGCTCCCCTATTTGACTCCAGGTCTACTGGCCACATTGACTAGTTTAAATTGGAAACTAGGCAACAGCTTTTTCGTGCCTTGTTATTGTTTAAGTGCATGCAGTCAGCTCTGGCTCATAGAGAATCCATGCACAATGCAGTGAACTCTGTTTCAGCCCCATAATCTCGGCTCTCCTTCACCTGTTGTTGAAGTCATTTTGTGAATTCATCTCATTGAGAATTTTCCTCTTTTTCACGACCCTCTACTTTTCTAGTCATGATATTCTTCTCCAAAGACTGATTCTTCCTAATAATATGGCCAAAGTATATGAGCTAGTCCTACCATTCTTCTGAGGAGCATTTGAGCTATGCTTTTATTTCCTTTGTGTTCTGTAATACATCCTGCAAGAGGGAAAAGACATGACTACAGGAAGCAGATTATGATTAAGACTTGATATATAGGTCTTGAGTCAACAAATTAATATCATGTTTAAATCAAAATTCTGATTAATTGGTTGAGTCATCTGACAGCTGTTGGCATGGGAAGCTGTGCATGTCCACTGTGATTTGTGGGGTTTCTAAGCATCAAGCATAGATGAGCTCCTAGAACAAAGGGAGCAGCCATCCCCTCATGAATGCCTTGATCCTTCGAATGTCTGTATGTTAAGGTCATTTAGAAATCTGTCCTCATTCTTTAAAGATGCTGCTAAATAAACTGTATTTTTCTTTTTTCTTCCGAAAAAAATCTTAACCCTGCAGAGTAATTTACACCTAAGTAATGAGCAATCAAAAACTTTAAATTCTGAGGACTTTAGGAGTAATGTGAATATAGTGCATAATGCACCAGGCTGCTAACTGAAAGGCTGGTGGTTCTAATTCACCCACTGCTCCTAGGGGAAACTATGAGTAATCTCCTCCCATAACGATTCACAACATCAGAAACCCTAATGGAGGGTCTCTGCTCTGGTGTCCTGGTCAGTAAAAAGTCGAACTCCTAATTCAAAGACCATGCCTCTCTGATGGTTCAAAATTATCATGAGCAATCTCCTCCTTTGTGCTTAAGAGTCGCAAAAAATCAATGGAGAGTCAACTATGAGTCAATTCATTGCAGCAGCAATGAAGTGTTTTGGGTTGGTTCTATTTTATTTTTTTTAAGTTATGAATTAGAACTGATTTGATAGCTGTGGTACATTAATATTGAAAAGTGTTAAAAAGCAGCAGAAGAGAGTTTATGTGTCTATTCAGATCATGTCTAAATAACATCATAAAGTAGAAAGGTTGATATTTCATCTCTCTAGGTTTCTCATCAATATAATTTGTGCATCTGTAAGAGTATTTGAATATTTAATGCTGAATCATGGATATATGTGTTTATTTAATTTAATATACAGAAGAGTATTTTTTTTATTCTATTGCAAAGACTAGGGAGCTTACCATGGTATTTTGGAGAGTTTTAACCTTTTCTCCCACCACTCCCTTGATGCAGGTTTCTCATTGAAAATTTTGCTACAATTTTCATATAGATCTATTTCTATCTGTATGTGTATGTAAATTTTATACTCAGCAAAGAAAAATCAATTTCTTTTAAAATGATGAAAGTATCCTGGCATTTTAGAGTCTTCATAAAACATCTTCTTATGGCTTTCTACAAATGATACCATCTTATATTGTCCCAATACTTTCTTCTTCTGAAGACAAGTTATATATCTTTTTGAATCTGTAATACTTGTTATTTCTGGAAGATTTTCCAGAGAAACTTGCTGACCTTCTACTTGAGATACTAGATGCTCTTGATTTATTTGTTTTTCTCTTTCTTCAACACAAACAACCTTTTCTATAGAAATGCCTAGACTGCTTAATATAATATTGGTTTACAATAAATTAATTAATTCACTTATTAGTAATCACACTGTCCAACAAAAATACATTTGTAAATAAGAAGACGGCTCCTACTCTCTTAGAACGTGTCTTATATTGAAAAGAGAGAAATGGAAATTTCGAATAGATGTTAAGAATTGTGTATATGAAGTACAAGAGAGTGCACTAGCCCAGATATATGCATTTAGGGCCCTTACCGGTTGAGCTATGGTACTGGAAAAGAGTATTGAATGTACCATGGACTGCCAAGAAAACAAGCAGATTCATCCCGGAGAGGGTTAAACCAGGTTGCTCCTTGGAGGCAAGGATTCTGGGGTTTCGTCTGACATACTTTGAACATGTTGTAAGGAGGGACAGGTCCTTGGAGAGGGACATCATGCTCGGTAGGGTGGAGGGCAGGTGCATGAGTGGAAGGCCCTTTATGAGGTGGATTGATTCAGTGACTGGGGTAATCGGGATGGGTGTGTCAGAGACAGTGCGATTGGCAAAGGACAGAGCGGAGTTTAGGGCTATTGTACATAGGGTCGCTATGAGTCACAAGCGACTCGACGGCGCATAACAACAGCAGTTATAGTTGCTGTCCAGTTAGATCCTTCTTATGGTGACCTATGTACAACATTCTGCTCAGCCTTGTGCAGTCTTCATGATTGCTGGAATGCTCTAGCTCACTGTGTTTACCGTATTTTGAGTTTCTTCTAACTTAGGATTCCTCTTCCAGTACTATAACAAATAGCAGTCTATTGTGATTCATAAGATTTCCATTGGCTAATTTGTGGAAATCGATTCCCTGGCCTTTCCTCCCCATTTTTCTTAGCCTTGATGCTCCACTGGGCCTGTCCTTTTTGGGTGAACCTAGAGGTATTTGAAATACTAGTAATCTAGTTTCCAGCAGCATAGCAACATGCAAGCTGACAGATGGATGATAGATTCCATATATAAACAATTGTCATTGTGGTGGTTCCAACTCACAGCTGTTTACACAGAGATATTTGAAAGTAAGATACTGAATGGAGATCCCCTAGGAAGAGAATTGATTGAAAGACTAGAGGCAAAGAAAAAAGTCAAAAGGAAGGAAGAAAGGCCAATGTAAGTCCTTGAGATACTATGATGTTTTGAGGTCCATTGAAAGTATCCAGTCAATGAACCCCAAAGGAGCAGCCAGAGAGAAAGGAGGAAAACAAGCTGATCACGTCTCCCAGAAGCAAAGCGAGATAAGGTTTATTTTCCATATTGTGTAATTCCTGTAAATGTTATAGTTACTTTCAAAATTCCAGATAAATAAGGACCAGAGTTTGAAATCCCTGGATAGTCTCTCAGGCCTTATGTAAATGAGATTTCAGATGACAACCTACATGAAAGAATATCCATGTCATTTGGAATTCACTTTCTACAGTTAATTGAAAAATAAACTATTCAAAACAATAAGGAAAATATGTTTCACTTCAATTATATATTTCACCACCAAAGTACGTAGAATGTATTTTTTTATTTAAAAGAATATATTTATAAGGAGATAAAAATATTTGAGTTTGTAAGAGATTCACTTGTGAGCTATGTGACATTCATGGTAAATTTTAATTAAATGTAAAAGCATACTTCTCAGTATATAGCACTGATGAAACTTGCCAATTCATTGGTGGTTTATAATGTCAATTTCTGTTAACCACCCAAATAATTCTTTACCCAAACTTGAGGAACTTTTTTGGCTTAGTGGTAAGGAATTGTGCTACCAGCCCAAATATATGCAAGTTGAAGCCACCAGGTGCTCTGTGATAGAAAGATGGGATTCTCCTCTCATGTGATTTAATGCCTCTGAAAAATCTACTGCATGGTCAACTGTGGGTGGGTTCAAACACAAAGATATACAACAAATGACCATCCATTAGTGTTGTTTATGAGTTTAGAGAGTTTAATTTTTTTTTCTTCCCTTCCTCAAATATTTAGACTTTTAAAGCTATTAATAAGGTTATACCACAGACTACCAAAATAAGAAACAAATCCATTGTGGAAGAAGGTCAGCTAAAATGTTCCTTAAAACTAAGCATGGCAAGACTTTAACTTGTGTATTTTGGGCATGTTATTGGGAGGAACCAATCTCTGAAGAAAAACATAATGCTTAGAAAACCAGAGTGTCAGATAAAAAGAGGAAGATCCTCAATGAGATGAACTGAAACAGTGGTTGAAGCAATGGCTTTAGCATAACTGAGATTGTGAGATTGGCAAAGGATTGACCAATGTTTAGTTTGTTGTATACAAAATCATTGAGTCAGAGTCAACTTGATAGCACTTAATCAGAACACCGATGGAATAATGATGTCAAAGGCCCAGGTATATTTCAATCAAGCTATGATCTTTTCAATTGTTATGTTGGACAATGACTAAGGATGACAGAAGAAGAATTGATACCTTTGAGTTGTGGTGTTAGAGAAGATTATAGAATACCCTCTAGACTGCCCAAAGCACTCATATCTCTTGGAGAAAGTGCAACAGGGGTGTTTTTGGAGGCAAAGATGGTGAAGCTTTGTCTCACATATTTTGGACATGTTGGTAGGAGGGACCAATACTTAGAAAAGGATATTATGCTTGGAAAGACCAGTGAAGTAGTGGCTGGCCTTCAGGGAAATTGACTGACAAAGTGACTGTACCAATGAGCTCAAATATATCAGAGATGATTAAAATGGCACAGAATATGGCAGGGTACAGATCTGTTGTTCATAGGGTCACTATGAGTCATAGTCAACACAACAGCACATAATTAGAACAATAATGTGTCTGCTATTTGTCAATGCCCTACTACAGACTTTTGGATCTGTAAAATGTAAATTAATTCATATTTTTAATTCATCATGAAATAAATACTGAGCATGATACACTAGGGTGATATTAGAAATCAAGTGGGTAAGTGAATATATATATATATTTCTATATGTGGGGTGATTGTGTCGCTTCTGTCCTAATAACAAAAGTCTGTTGTGTTATTTTTTCCAGGAGTTTGGACAACACCTCGACACATTACAATAAATTCTACAACAGTGGAATTATATTGGAGTGAGCCAGAAAGGCCCAATGGTCTTATATCTCAGTATCTCTTGAGACGTAATGGATCCTTGGTTTTTCTGGGTGACAGTGAGAAGTTTAGTTTCATTGATAAATATCTGGAGCCTGATAGCAGGTAAAAAATAAAACTTTATCAATCATCCGGTCAGATATTTAGATTTGAAAGGAAGATGAGAAATAGTATCGATATGATTGAAACAGTAGTTCAGTCAACCAACCAAACAATCCATCAATCAATCTATCCATTCTGATGATATCTTTAAATCAATTTCAGATGTCAAAAACCTAAATCCTAAACCATTAAACTAATTTTTATTACATAAAATTGCTTAAAATGTAAATAAACATTAATATATGCAAATGAAATTTGAAATCCTAATAATTTTTATATGTAAATATATCTAAAAAAACCTACAAAATGATCAGATTATCTTAAAATAACGGATTTTGGAAACTAGTAAGAAAAGATGATGTAAAGAGGTTTGTTTTGCATTAGCCAGTTTTTGCCTGGTAAAATGTTCTCTCTAATTGCTACTCTGCAAATAAGCATGAGAAGTTTGGGAGGAAAAAAATTCGTGTATTTGTAATTCATTCACTTTACTTTCTCAGAAGAGACAAAATATATTTTAGATCAGCACACGTTTTATTATAGAAAGTTGTTGTTGTTGTTATGTGCCGTCGAGTCGCCTGCGACTCATAGCGATTATAGAAAGTAGAGATCAATTTAATTTTATTGTAGAGAGTAGAGATCAATTTAAAAACACTTTTCTATAAATATAATTCCCTGCACTCCAACCTATTTAAAAACAGATTAATGTAAATCCTCTACAATCTACTCATAAATTTCAAGACTTTCTTAAAATCTTTAAGAAAAGCTGTAATTACTTTTGCTGAAATGAGCCATTGAGTTAATTCTGGCTCAAAGAAACCCTATATGACAAAGTGGAATTGCCTCTTAGGACTTCAAGAGTATAATCTTTGTGGGAATAGAGTACTCGGTTCCTTGTCCCAAAGGGTAACTGCTGAGTTTGAACCTTTGACTTTTGAGTTAGCCACCTACCACTTAGCCACCAGACCTAGAAATAAATACAAAATTAAAAGGGACAAGGAAGAATGAAAATCTGGAGAGAATACTGTCTCGTGCTGGAAAATCTGAGATCTATTGTGAAGTTTCTGAAAGAATAAAGGATTGACAATTTGCCACAATTTTAAGGCTTAGCAATAAATAGAGAAACAAGCAAACTTCATTCAAGTCCCTTGTGCTTGCCTTATCACAATCATTTTGTTTTGCTTTGCTTTACATCTAGGTATGTTTACACATTAGAAGCCCAAACTGAAGGGGGTAACAGTACTAGTGATGATTACATAATACAAATACCTGTATGGACACCAGAAGAAATCCATTCTCCATATAATATAACAGTAAATGGACCTGATTCCATATCTGTGGCTTGGACCAAACCAGGTGAGTAATTAAAGTTTTTCTCACATCTCTTCCACTCTGTGTTCTTGTGTATGTGTATGTATATGTGTTTTTGTATATGTATGTGTGTGTGTAATATTTTAGAGAAAATTAGAGCAGAAGATGGCAATGTGAATCTAGTAATTGAGAAAGATACTGTCTGTCTCCTGGATGAATATTAATAGGGTAATCACAAATTGTACTCAGCATATAAATGCATATGCATGCACAGATCTTTATATCAATGTAATGATTTTTTTTTAAGTATCACTGACTAAGATTCTAGCTTTACTCACACACACACACACACACACACACACACACACACACACACAGCTCCAAGCTCTTTAGGTTGAATTACCTTTAGCGTTCATTTGCACAGAACTCTAGATGGGCTCATTAGTGCCATAATATCCATCCCTCTGTTATGTTGTAGACGAGGAATTTGGAAAGACACTAACTCTCTGTCATGGACCTTGAGTTGAGATTGGTTATGGTAGTATTTTATCTCTCCAAGTTGTGTATCCTCCATCAAACCACTTAGACAATGGTGGGTTCTTCCCGTGATTTAGTGTCTTACTATATTTTGATGTAAGCAAGGAGATGGTGAGATTGGCACAGGACAGAGCTGAGTGTAGGGCTGTTGAACGTAGAGACGGCACATAACAGCAACAACAAGCCCAGTAAAATCTTAACTCTATTAATAGTGTAAGGAGTAAAGATTAGAGTAAGGTATGTTTGCTTTTTCTGTTGATAAAGAGGCACCAAAAATGTTTGTTTTGTTAAAATTTAAAACTGTGGAATGGGTTCAATTAATTTCAAAATACCTAATTTTAATTTTCACATCTAGTTTTTAAATGATTGGTATGTTCAAGTCCATCATTATAACCACTGTGTATTCAAGTAGTTTGCAACCTGGAGAGCTCATTTTAGTGTTCCCATCAGAATAATTTAGCCAAACTAAAACTTGGCTCTAATAATTGATTAACAGAGTCATTTTGTCCATTAGTATATTGATGCCATAAAATAAATAGCACGGCCATGTTTTTCACAGAATTAAAAAGAATCTCAGTCAGAGAATGTAAGCTGGCCATAAATGAAAGGCAGAATATATGGGTCTTGTTGGGTAAGGCAACTGGTTTGCGTTAGTAGTGTGGACGTACCTGCAGATGCTCAAAAGAATAGCCTGGTCAATTGCTACCACAAAGATTATATGCAACGTAAAAACTCTGTGATGCAATGTTACTCTGTAAGATGCAGTAATTAGCTAAGAATCAGAATCAACTTGATGGCAGTGGTTTTGGTTTCTGGATTTTTTGTTGTTGTTGCTAGTTGCCATGGAGTCCACTCCAACTAATGATAATGTTATCATTAATGTTACACGCAAGAATGAAATATTGCTCAATCATGCTCTTCATGATTGTTGATACGATATAATCCATTCTTTCTTTTACATTTTCGTGTGTGTGTGCGTGTGTGTGTGTGTGTGTGTGTGTGTGTGTGTGTGTGTGTGTACCATCAAACCATATCTGACTGGTACAGGAGGAGATTGCCCTTCCTTCTCTAGCAGAGCATCTGGTAGATTCTAACCATGTACCTCTGGGATTGCAGTGCAGCTTCTTG